CACTGGCGTATCTACGCGTTACGTCACGGTTGATAGCACGTGACTTCTTCAGGATATACCTATATATCCGGCGTCGGCGCCATCTTGGTCCACCTTCTAAATGTGAGTAGTACTAATAGTGTGGCTTTAATAAAAGGCTTATGCGGTTTTACACTATGTGGATCTTTTTTGTCCTATGTGGGGTGTTTATGGAAATGAGTGCGCACTAATATCTGGAGGCACCTAGTGGAAATCATTATCCATCAGAGGAGGAAGTACCACCACTACTGCTGAGGAGACCCCCAAGGTGGTGTGGGAGGATTACAAAAGAGGCAATTGTCTGGCTCATTGGTCCTGCGGGGCCTGGGCAGGAAGGTGAGGGGGTACCCCTGTCACTGTGGATTCACATTACAGTTGGGAGCACCTGCATGAAGATTGTTTTGTGTGTGTTTTTTTTTCACATATTAAGACAGATCTATATACTGGGAGGACTCACAGCACCACATGTTGTTTATATATTTTTCTTGAATTAAGCTATGTGGATAGGGTATTTATAGCGCTGCACTGTTTTACAATTTTACCACTCAGACTACCTGCCAACAAATAGAATTTTTCTTACGAACATACTTCACGGAAAATTCGGGATCGGTCTCGTTGGCAGTGCCCCTATGGGAGGCGCATAAGGCCACGGTGCGGGGTTATGTTATACAGCTGGCTGCGGTCCGGAAGCGGGAGGGCTGACTTTTGGAGCTTCATTCTCTCCTGGCCTCTGCGGATGCGCTTTGGAAGTCATCTCCATCCGCAGCCCATAAACGCACTCGGGACGCTCTGGCGGCAGAGTTGGATCTATTTGCCTCTTCGGAGGCGGAACGGGCCCTGCGTTGGACCAAACACAAATTTTATTCCTGTGCTAATAAGCCGGGCCCAATGCTGGCCAGGAAACTCAATTCTGTGGGGAAACCCCATAAACCGATCCGACTGCGACTTCCCACAGGTGGCTGTACTTCTAATCCCCAGCAGATTGTTTCCCATTTCTCAGACTTCCTTTCGCACCTCTACACTAAACCAGATCCCTTCCCTGTGGCTCAAGCAGAGGCATTCTTTCAAGATCTCCGACTTCCTAGGTTATCCGAGGCAGCACAGGTGGCCCTCAACGCCGGTGTCACCGTAGCGGAAGTGCTCCAAGCATATGAAATCTTTACGGTCCACCGCGGCCCCAGGTCCCGACGGCTTCTCCGGTCTCTATTATAAGAAATTTTCGGCCCTGTTGGCGCCCTTTTTGGCTGACTATTTTAATGAGTTACGACAGGGCTCCTTGCCCTCTCCAGACGCGCTTAGAGCGCATATCTCCATGATTCCTAAGACGACCGATGATGTACAGGAACTGCAAGCCTTCCAGCCCATTTCTCTTCTTAATGAGGACCTGAAGATATTGGGCAAGATCCTTAGTTTTCGCATCAATAAATATTTGCATAGCCTGGTCCACAGGGACCAAGTAGGGTTTATCCCTGGGAGGCAGGCAGGTGATAACGTTCGTAAGGTGGTCCATCTCATACATTTTCTGCAACAGCGGAAAATCCCGGGATTCTTACTGTCCTTAGACATATATAAAAAGCCTTTGATTCTCTACCTTGGGAATATCTGCGGTTTGTGCTGTCTCGTTGGGGTTTTGGGGATTCTATTCTTTCTTGGATTCAAGCCTTCTATTCTTCTCCTTCGGCCTCCGTTAAATACGCTGGGTATTTTTCAGATCCCTTTCCTATTGGGCGAAGGACAAGACAGGGTTGCCCCCTGTCCCTGGCGCTCTTTGTCCTGGCGCTTGAGCCGCTGGCTTTAGCGCTCCGGACCGATTGCAATGTATCGGGGGTTCCATACGCGGGACAGGAGTTCAAGCTGAACCTTTTTGTGGACGATGCCCTCTTGACTCTTACTGATCCCCTGACGACCCTTCCTAATTTGCAACAGATTCTTGAGTGCTTCTCCTTGATTTCGGGGTCTCCGTATTAAGTTGGATAAGACTGTCGCTCTCAAAATTACATTGGCTTCAGATTTGGTTTCGTGCCTACAATCCCACTTCCAAATGGGCTTCCTCTTCTCTTGAATACTTAGGCATTCGCTTGACCCCCACCTATGACTCCGTTTGCTGCAAATTATTATCCATTTCTTAGCTCTCTATCTTCTCTTATGCATTCTTGGCAATTTCCGCACCAGTCTTGGATAGGACGGGTTAATTCGGTGAAAATGACCATCCTGCCGAAATTGTTATATTATTTTCGCACCCTCCCAGTGCGGGTGCCCCCTCATTTTCTTCGGTTGCTTCAAGTGAAGTTTATGCATTTTATCTGGGCCGATAAGCACCCCAGAGTCTCCAGGAATACGCTTTTTGCTCATAGACTCCAGGGTGGTCTTGGGGTGCCTAATGTAATGAAGTATTATCAGGCGAGCCAGATTGCCCCGCTGTCTATGTTGCACGCTTCCTCTGACGTTCCTCTCTGGGTCCTGCTGGAACTACTTAATTGTGCCCCTATCGCAACGCTTCTATGGCTTCCCCCTGCCCTGCGCTCTATGGCACTGAGTCCGATGTTGCTCCATGGCTTACAAGCAGCGTCAGGGCGCCCCGGGCCTTATATCCCTTCTTTATGCAGTTCTGAACAGACGCTTGTCGCATACTTCTCTTTCATATGTTGTTCATTGGGAGCGCGACCTGGGAGTGGCTGTGGATCCGGAAGACTGGAATAAGGCCTGGTCACTCATAGCTAAATGCTCATTTAATACGACCACGCTGGAGGCAGCCTATAAGGTATTGTTTCGTTGGAATTGGGTTCCGGCTCGTTTGGCCCAGGCTAACCCTGCCTGTAGTGATCGATGCTTTCGGGGTTGTGGCCATCTTGAAGATGTATTGCATATCAGGTGGTCATGCCCGAGACTGTTTCGTTTTTAGTCTCGTGTGTGTTTGGCCTCCTTTTCACCTTGTTCCATCTCTCCATACGCCAGGATGCTCAGTATGCCTTGCTTCATTGCCCCATACCAGGCCCCTTGGCTCACCAGCAGAAGTTGGCTTCCTATTTGTTTTTATCGGCCACTAGAACAGTTGCTCAGGCCTGGAAGAGTCCATTTGTCCCTCTTCAGGGGAGGGCGGGATCGTATGACCACTATGATGCTCAACGAACAGATGTCGAGTATCTGCAATGACTCCCAACGTAAATTTTTGAAAATATGGGAGCCGTGGCTGCAATATGCCTTTCCCACGCTCCCCCGGCTAGTCTGGGGATGTAATGGCGTTTGGTATTGGTGCTCTTGGACCCCTGCTCTTTGGGGTTTTTTTCGTTTGTGTTTTTTTTTTTTTTTTTTCCTTTCCTTTCTCTCTTTCTCTTTGTTTTTGGTGTGACAGTGGACAGCTGCCTTTAGTTGTTATAGTAAGAGCTACATTAATGTTATTGTAACTTATGTGCCATTGATAGCCCCTGCGTGGGCGTACCTTTTGCCCTGTTGGCATTAAAACACTGTTTTCTATTTTGCATTTTTTATCTGTGCAATTTTTATCTGTGCAATTTTGTTGCCTCTGTTTTATACTGTTTAAAAATGAATAAAAACCATTGCAATATAAAAATTATTTCAAGGGTTACTCCGCAGCAAAAAAGTTGGGAAAGGCTGACCTAAAACTATACACTTGCAATGAGGAAATAATAGTTTAAAATAAGTAAACATCATAACGGTACAATCATGTTACATCATAAAATATGTCAAAACAAAACTGTACTTTGTCAATGGAACACCACGCAACAGGTTCACTAAGGTGCCCACATACTGTTCAATTCAATATTTGATTTTATATTTGTTTCTATATTTGTTTCTAAAAACTGTATCAATACACTGTATACACAATTTCATCACATCCAATTGATTTTGAAGTTAAAAAGGTGTTTGGACAGGATTGGACATTGCTAATGTTTACGGTAGGGATCAGGGTATTAGAAAGGGTCAGAAAAACAAATCAAATTTTTTTAGAAACCAAATTATAATTTTAACTGTAGTTTGGATTGAATTTATATCTGTACTACCATCTCTACTAGCATCTTCTGGCTCAGGCTTGAATCCTCCTCCTGTTGGAGATGCTAGCCCCCTGATAACAAAGTACCAGAAACCTAGGCTTTAACAAAATCCTTCTTCCGTTTCACCTTCACAAGGAATGGGGAGAGCTGCAGGCTATGGCAATAGAGGAACTGTTTCAGGGCAAACAAGAACCTGGGAAAAGCCATCCCGATTGACTGATTTTGCACCCAAGTAAACAGTCAGGCAGGGTTGTGGTGGATTAACAGACAAAAATCGCTGGATTGGGTAAACTTCTCTTTTGTCTGTAGGTATCTCAAGGTCATGGCAAACTTGCCGTATGTACATTTCAAGCTCTATATTTAATTTATAGTTTTAAGGAAAGATTAGCTACTTTGTTAAGAGCTAATTTTACCACTAAAACCCCGTATAAACGTTGAGAATATCAGACAAATGATCGTCCGGGTTTTTTTTTTTTTCACACTAGTCTCATATCGATAATGAAGAGGTTACTACAGTTTAGAAAATTCTTGTATGACAGAATAAAAATTCAGAAGAGACGTAATGTATTTGTATTGTATTTTCAGATGAAAACTGTACTGACTGTACTTTGAAAGTGTAATTTCTTGTATGATTTTCTGATGGTGTGTACAGGGCTTAAAGTTACATCTGTGAGGTCTTCCAGAAATTTACTAGTCTTCATAAGCAGTGTATCTGATACAAAGGTGTTAAAAATGAAACAATTATTCCTGTTACACTTCCAGGGGAACTTGCACTGATGAAAGTATTTCCAGTAGTTCTGGTGCCTAGACCTGTTTAGTGGAACACATGCCTTTCCATTCTACCAGTCTTCATGCATGATGACACTTTGGAAATACTGGTCACAGGTCCACTATCCTATCTAAATTATATGCAAGGTCTAGTGTCAGTCTGACCAAGTAAAAAAATAAAAAATGATAGCAGTGCCTCACCGTTACTTCCTGGTAAGACTCCATGCCATTTAACACCACCTGGATGACCTGCCGCCGGAGCCGAACGCTCTGTTCACTACGGTAGTCAGAGTTTGTAAGGTAGAATAAGGCGGCACTTCCTGTCACCTGAATTGTTTTGTCATACTTGTGACATTTGAGGGCAGCAATTACCAGCTGTGAAAAGAGGGTAAGAGAGAGTGTAGCTTTTATACAGTTGATAGATAATTGTACTTCTAATCACATATTAGCTCTTTAATTATACCCAGGGACACAAACAGCTTTATGAATACAACCCATTACCTATGCCTTTTGTTTCCTGTAGTTTGAGAGCTGTCATCACAGGCCCAGATCAGTGTTAGTATTGCTTTGTTTATATTCAGCCAGTGTCTGCACTGAAAAAGTGTGTAGAGCAGCGTGTGTCAGACCAGGACCAAGAGGAAGGAAGGCATCAGAGATCCCTCTAGACACACAGCCTGCTTTCCACTATTAGCTATTTGTTGTTGCATGTGAAGTGCGGATTGGAAGGGCTTTTCTACATTTAAGCAGCAGCTGCCTCCTTTTTCAATTTTATAATCTGTTTCTTTAGAGATCAGACACATGCAATGCAGTGCATAAATTATCATTTAGGACTAAATAAATCAAAGACAAGTGGCAATTGTACAAAGGGGAAGTGTACACCAACTTCCTGTGACCAATATCACCACAAGAGGGTGTGAGGATATCTTAGCAACAGGGACACCTAGAGCAATGGAAACCTTTTTTTTACCCACCTCCCATCCGGCTGTTGTATATAAACGGCCGGACGGTGGCACTGCAGGGTCGGGTGGCCGTTTATATGGCTTTTCCGCCCCCTGCTTGTGTGCGCTCCCTGGGAGCGCACAGCACCCCGATCCGGTGCCCGCTGTGTCCTCTGGACACAATGGAATACCGATCGTCATACAGGACCTCTGTGCGAGATCCTGATCGTGTGATCACTGATTGGCCAATCAGTGATCACATGCAAAGTAGTAAGCAAGATGTCACTTCTGACATCATTGCGTACTACGTGTGAAATCTGTGAATGATCACAGAGGTCAAATGGTACAAGGCTATTCACAACAGCCTTATACCATGTGACAAGCTGTGACCAATCAATCACATCTCTCACAGTAGTTCTCAATGGCTACAAGAATGCAGCCAGAGAGAAAGAGAACTGATTGATTTTAAAGCCTTTATGGGTGTAAAAGCAATCAGTGTGAAAAAAAAAAATCTTCATCACCCCCCACAAGTAGTGACACTGTACTGCTAGGGTGACAGTATGTAAAAAAACAAAACAAAAAAAACCCATAAATAATATAAAAAAATAAATAATAATTAAAAAAAAAACCATAAATAATATAAAAAAATAAAATAAATGTGAAAAAAAAAAGAAGTTTAAAAATTATAATTTTTGGTTATAAACTAATTTGGGTTTTTTACTAAAAAGATAACGGAATAAATTTTGGCCAAGATTTATGATGAAATATTATTTATTTGCAAAATTTTATAAGAAAAACTTTATTTCAAAAATTTTCGACATTTCATTCACATGGCAAAAAAAATGAAAATCCCAGTGGTGAATAAATACCACCAAAATAAAGCTTTATCTGTCTCAAAAAAAATGCTAAAAAATTCATATGGGTACAGTGTTGCATGACCGCGCAATTGTCATTCAAAGTGTGACAGCACTGAAACTGAAAATTGGCCTGGACAGGAAGAGGGTGAAAGTGTCCGGACTTGAAGTGGTTAAAGAGGGCAAGGGTTAAACTTTTGTCAGGATTTTACTGCTGTGTGCACATTTTGGAGATTGTTCCCCACTTCCTGTCCCACAATTATCTCTCCCTAGGACTGGGAGTAGGGGTAGATCTCCCCAAAAGAGACACAGACAACAGTTTTCAGTAGTTTACTGTTTCCGTAGCTTACAAAACCCTACAATTCCAAACCTACAAAGAATGAAGTATAAGCTGTGGTTACCTGCAGGGCCCTCAGTGGCTGGTTGCAACGTTCAATACGAGCAATATCGAACAGCAGATTTATGGCACGAGAGGTGATCTCAGGGCGATGCTCAGTGTATGCTTCTATGGCATTGAGAACCTGCTCCTCATTTTTATCTCCACTCACCTATAAGAAATGGAAACTCATTACAGACTACATTCTTTGTTCTTCAGGAAGGTAAACTACCTGCAGAGCTGGGACCTCACCTTGTAAGCTGGGATGTGAGTCAGGCGGCAGAGAGAAGTTTCAAAGAGGCCCAAGAACTGCAGAGGCTTCTTCAGACAGCGGAATGGAGTGATACTGCTCTTGCTGGGGTCAGTGCTGTGTAGAAATAGAACAATTAAACAGCATTCTTCTATATTTAGTAGGCTGCATTAAAGGGTCTGTGTACGTGAAACTGATATCTCAGCACTTGATAGAGGCTGAACAGTTAAACCATTTTGGTGACAGGAGGGCCTCCAAACTCTTGTCCACAGGTTTTAAAGGCTGGAATATCCTCAACTGGAACCAATGGAGATTTGTTAAGACAGGAAATAGCCTGATCCATCACCAGAACTTTCCGCTTCTTGCAATAAGCCTCCTCAAACCAAGTACTGCTGAGGAACCCTCATGGGAGAAGAATACAGTTTGTTAGGCCACAACTACAGAACTAGTATACTAGTGGGTGGACCAGAAAAGTCTTCATAGTCTTTTTGTATTTGGATAGAGACCCCATACTGATGACTTTAGGCCCTGATGAAGTAGGCAGTTCCAATTTCAAAACAAGTGTGCACTGCATCCTCCAAAACCATAATGGTTTATTTCAGTTTGGGAGATATTGTAGCTGACTGACCTTCCTCTCTTGAGGAGTCCTCACTTTTCAAAGATTTTTCCTCTTCTTCCTTTCATTTTCCACCTCCTTCTCACTGGGGAGCAATGTTTCAAAAGAAGATTCAGAAGGGGACGCAGACAGACAGTGCTTACGTCTTTCTGAGCCCTGTGGTCTCAGGCAGTGCACAAATCTTCCCTATAAACTCCCAACATGAAAGATGAAACATACTCTCTAGTTAAAAAGGAAGAATGGGGAGTATGCAAGGGGTTAAAAGAGGAAGGAAGACTGAAGTCCAAATCACATGAAGCAGACTTACCCCAGGAACCCCAATTCATCTTATCATGGCCCTATAAACAGTGTGTGCTGGCCTGCCCATTTGTCCTGTTTCCCTTGTGCCTGATGTCCAGCATATGGATGAGCTGATCCCCCACCAGGTATTCGTGATCTGTGAGGTCGAGCAGAAGGGGTGCAGCCATCCTGTGTCTCATGTTTAAGGCTGCTGGATAAACTGATTAAGGTGAACGTGGAGACCAGGGCTTCATAACAGAGCAGGATTGTGCCTAAAGCAGTGAAGTGCCTTGTCTTGTAGCAGAGTACAGTAATACCCCGGTTTACGAATTTAATTAGTTCTGCAGGACATTTTGTATAGCGAACAATTCGTAAACCGAAACGCTGTTTCCCATAGGAATGCATTGAAAACCAATTAATCCGTTCCGAAAGTCAGCAAAAAGTAAAGGCTACTAAAATACCACGAGTTATTTTATCAAGTCATGCGGTATTTTAGTAGTGACAACCATGTGTTAATGTTTCTGCTGTCAGCATGGTTCCCCACTGACAGCTGAATGTAAAAGAATTGCCGGTAATTAAAAAATATAAAAACGGCGTGGGGTCCCCCCTCCCATCCATACCAAGCCATTCGGGTCTGGTATGGATTTTGAGGGGAACTCCCACGCCAAAATTAAAAAAAAAAAAATGGCCGTACCAGACCCTTATCCGAGCATGCAGCCCGGCAGGTCAGGAAAGGAGGGGGGGTTGACAAGCGAGCGCCCCCCCCCCCTTCTGAACCATACCAGGCCACAAGCCCTCAATATGGGGCGAGATCTGGGGCTTGTTAAAGGGGGCTTCCAGAATCAGCTAAGCTCCATGCCCGCAGACCCCCACAACCACTGGCCAGGGTTGTGGGGAAGGGGCCCTTGTCCCCATCAACATGGGGACAAGGTGCTTTGGGGGGGGGGGAAGCCCCCCCCCATGTTGAGGGCATGTGGCCTGGTATGGTTCAGGGGGGAGCGCTCGCTTGTTCCCCCCCCTTTCCTGACCTGCATGCTCGGATAAGGGTCTGGTATGGATTTTGGGGGGGACACCCACGCCATTTTTTTTTTTTTACATTTTGGTGTGGGAGTTACCCTTCAAAATCCATACCAGACCCAAAGGCTTGGTATGGATGGGAGGAGGGACCCCATGCATTTTTTATTTATTTTGGTGCCAGTTTTTAAATTTAATTACCGCTTTTTTTTCTTCACTATAGCTCAGAAATTCAGCTGTCACTTTCCCCCTAGCTAAAAGAAAGAAAGTTTTCTTTTAGTTTTTTCCAGGAGTTAAGAGAAACAATGTTTCCTTTTAGTTTCTTAAAAGAAACAAAGTTTCTGTTTACTCCAGGGAAAGTGACAGCTAATTCTGTGAGCTATAGTGAAGAAAAAAAAAAAAGAGCCGGCAATTGCATTTAAAAATTGGCACCGACATACACTTCGTATTGTGATAAAAATTCGCAAACTGAGATATTATTTTCAATGGATTTTCATTCGTAAACCAAAAATTACATTAACTGAGGCATTTGTAAACTGAGGTATTACTGTATGTGCTGAAGATGGCTCTCAGGCTTAGGAGGACTGTGGTACCACCTTCAGGGGCAGTTCTATGCACAAGCTCTCTATTCTTACCCACCCTTCTGCACTATGGAAATTTAAGGAAGGACAGTTGCCATAAGGAATAGGCTTAGCAACTGACTCACTGCTCCAAGGCTCTAGGCTCCTTCTCAGAAGAGTACTACCAGGTGGAAACCTGCTTTAGGAAGGCATATCTCCTTCTCTGTGCAGAGGGTCTTCATGGACTGGGTCACATAGGTGTGGATCAAAACTGCCCTGGACCTGTAGAGCACCATACAGCTAACTGCAGCTCACTGTACTAATATACCAAAGATGAGTACCCATGTCTTCATGTGACAGGGTCCAGTCCCCAAGGCTACTGCCTAGGGACAGGGAGCAACTGCAGTAGCTCTAGGTGCAGTGGGGTTGAGAAAGGGATTTCTTAGCGTGAAGATCAACAAGGAATCTTCTTTGTCTTCCAGGTAGAAACTGAGGATAGCTGGGAGTGGGAGGGCTTATACGGGCTGTCCCACAATTTGTTTGCCAGTGTCAAATCACCTGATGGTGGCTGCATATAACCCAGGATCTGTGATTAAAAGGAGTCTGTGTACTGTACGAATAAGAAATTAAAACAACCTCTGTAGAATCTCTATTAGATTTTCTAAAACTAGGAAGTGTGATAAGCCTACCTAAACAATCCATTCAATATGTAGGCAGTGAGAAAGATTCCTACACTATTTAGCTCCAGTGCCTAGGTAGATCCAAAGGGGATTCTATAATCGGATTTGAACATGTATGGTCAGTTTAATGATGACCATGCACCTCCCCCAATGTATTAACATAAAATCTTCTTTGTAATTATGTTTTATCTACATTCAGTAAATATGTGCTTGCTGCTCTTCTCACTTTCCTTCTCCAGTACCATCTTTTCTAATTCATTAGCAGGAGGAGCCAGCTATTTCTGCCTGATTCTTGTAGCTGCGCTCTGGTAAAATGATGCCATATCTCACACATTTTGCCTGCATAAATGGGGTAAGCCAGTCATCTATGCAGAAATGCAAACCCACAATATATGGACTGTGCTGGGTGCACAGTCTTTTGGTTAAAGTGATGGGTATTACCCAGAAGGTTGCGGGCAAATCACTGGTGCTCAGGCTAAATAACAGTCAACGGAAGCTGTATATTTCCAGGCATTTGCACATTTTTATAATTAATTCAGTGATTTTCCAGGGGAAGGGGGTAGAGTATATAAAAAAGGCCAAGCACCATTTTAGCTGAAAAGTTCGCCTTAATGTTTTTCTCTGGGATGGGATATGTAGGTCGCATTTCCAGTTTTGCACAATTCACTTGGTCAATATGAGGAGGTCTTTGTAAAATTTAGATTTTACTGTATATAAACACAGAATGGAAAGGAATGTATGGTAACACGCCAAGATGAGCAACAACAGCATCACGCACCTCGGCAAGGAGATGTCACTATGGAGTACCCAAAGGATTTAAGGGCAGTGGATGACTCACTAAAGCAGACTTTATAAATAAATGAAATATCAGTTCTAGCAAGGGAACCATATAAAAATGGTGCTGCAACTAGAACCATGTAAAAACTATTTTTGGAAAGGATTTAACCTTGTCTACAGATTTTAGAGCCATTATGTAAGCTGCCATAATTGATACAATACATAACTGCTGTTTGTTTACATTGGTGGTACACTACTCTGTAGACTGGCCCAGACTGTGGATGCCATCAGCGCTATTACCAGCACAATCCATACGCCTATCTGTATTAGCCTTGAACCTTGCTTTGCCGTCCCAGCCGCAACCCTGCCAAGCTCTGCAGCCCTCCAGTGGATGGGTGTTCATACATGCTTTTATCCTTTTTATAAATGTGAGTGCAATTCTTAATTTATATCCTTCCTTGGAATTCTATTCAACATACTATGCTTAGATGGTGGCGCTTCCTGTGTTTTTGCCTTTACTACAGATGAGTGTATCCAATCCTCTTCCTAGGGAGCTGCAGCCGTACCGAAGCGGACTTTTTAGGATCCATTTATTGTTTATTTTTAGAAAAAGGACTCCATTCACAAGGGTCCATCAACGGACTGTGTCATAATATTCTTTCCCTTCCCACTTAGTTACCTGTACATACATAGCGCCATAATATTGTTTTTTCTATGTATACTCTGTTATTACAGCGTTTATAAGGTTTTGTTTGGTTTAACCTTGTCTAAACTGCTATATTAAAGTTTACCAAACGCAATGTATAAAAAAGTGCTTTCTTAAGCCTCTGCTTAACCACATGGTGGAGCAAAAGTTGATGGGATTATTCCATTCAACTATCAATCTACTTTAATAGGCAGAAATATTTCCAAGACAGTCTTATTCTCTATGCGGCCCATACCTGGAAGGGCCTAACTCATCATCCATCTTGGAAACAGCACAGTTCTCCAACATCATGTGACCAGAGATGTCCAACGATACAAGATCTTCAAGATTTTGCACAAATAGGCTTAGCACCTTGCGAGTGAGTTTGAACTTGTAATAGCTTGATAGTCTATCACGGGAAATATCCAGGTGCCTGAAAAACAAATAACCATATACAGTAATAAAGGATTTACTTTCTTAACATCAATTGAAAAAGCACAAATGTGACCCCCAAGCATAAAGATGATTCTGGGTAGGGTGTTATATGGGTAGCAACAGCTCCACTGTAAAGACTCACATTTGTGAATTTAAACTTCCAGTCTGCTTCCCTAGCTAGACAATACACCTCTGCACATCAGGAGACGTAGAGTGGCAAAAACAGATTCTGGGAAATCCCTTGCAATACATTGACTAATACTACAACAGGGCTGTGAGTTTTCAGCTCATAAAGCCAAGCACTGTCACTGTCTGACTAACAGGCATGCATGGTAGAAAGAAGAATAGGTAGAAGATATATTCAGGCTCAGGTAGTGAGGAAAAATACAGATAACTGGCTTTAATAATAGCATACTGGTATATAAACCATGCAATAAGTTTGAGTCAACCGAATTAAAAGGTGAAATTAAAAAGTACTGTGGATAGTACCAACAATGACTATAGAATATGGTGTGCTGATGACTGCCGTTTTGGTTGCAATCTTGATCCCTCTGCCATCAGATACCCCCGCAGCTGAAATCTTCCAGTATTGCAGGAGAGAATATGAGCAGCTGCAGCTGTGACAGGCACACGACTAAATGCGTCAACCATGGTACTGGGGATCTTACGATGCTGGGGGCAGAGGAATGAAGATTTTAACCGAACCCGGCAGCCACCAGCATATAGAACACTTTGCATTCATTTTAAGTACCGTCCCTTGGGGTGGTTTTAGAAGAAAAAAAAATTCACTAAGCTTCAGCTGTAAAAGTTTATATAGAAAGCATCCAACCCAACTAGAGGGGAAAACCAGAATGACAAAAGTCAGGTGGATTAATTTTCATCATGGATGTGTAGAGGTGTATAGCCAACATGCTTCAGGGCAATTAAAGTGTCCCCTTAATAAAGGAAGGGTGTTCCCAAAGCAAAATAAAGTGATTCACAACCCAATTATAAACTTAAAAGCTTTTTTTTTTGTAAATACATTTACAAAAAATTATTTGGACCATAGAGATCATAAGCCTGTCAGCAGCAGTGATTGGCAAATGGCCTAAATAGCCTAAAGATTGGCAAAACCTGTCAGCTTTTTCTTTGTTTGTCCCCCCTTGGGGAAATTTCCCCTCACTTTCTGTTCCAAAGACCAAAACAGAGAGGTCAGTCTCTGCAGGAATACAGACGGAAAACACAAACTGACTTCAAAATAAAAAAACAAAACAAAATGAAAAGTTTGGGCTTTAGGAAGAGGCTTACCGAAGTTTATGCAGTTGCACAATTACTCGTATGTGCTCCTCAGAGAGGTCCATGTTGTACAAGACAAGAGAAACCATTGTGTCCTTCCACTGAGTCAGAAAACTGATGTCATTCATCTGAATACCTGATAGATTTAAAGCCTTTAAACAGACCAGTGGGCGCACCATCATTTCCACATCTACACCTTTGGTGATACAGCCAAGATTGAGAAAGCGGAGATGGTGGAATCCCTGAAAACTAAAGTCCCGGGATAGGATCTGGCGACTAGGGTTCACCAGGCAGTCGGTATCATTGTATCGGCCTAGGTTCTCCTCTTCGTAGAAGATGTTGCTGCAGCCAAAAAGGCTGAGGGACACCAGAGTGGATTTAAAGTGGGACAGGGTCTGCAGGCTCTTAGCTGTTAACCTCTCACAGTTTGTAAGATACAGTTCTACAAGGTCCTAGGGAAGAGAACAACACCATTACAAAGGAGATACATAGTTCATTGCTATTATGTTATGCATGTTGGAAATTACAAAACGTTAATCAATGAAAGGTAAATGAAACACCAACCAAAATTGACTTTTTGGGGTTTATTTTTAATGTGTGCAAGTTTGAGTCACACTTGAGCTGACTTGTCATATCTTGAATTCGTCAGTGGCAATTTTTTTCTTACACAGTATATGTATAGTTCAGCTGGGAGGGAAGTGGAGTTCCAGTTGGAAAAAAAAAAATAAAAAATAAATAAAAGTCAGCAGCTACAAAAATTGTAGCTGCTGACTTTTAAAATACAGCCACTTACCTGTCCCCCTGTCCAGCGGTGTCCTCAGCACAGCTGGTTTCACTGGTATCTTCAGCTTGCAGTTTCATAGCTGGGTGCCCATTGTGCATGCGCGAGTAGCGCTGCGCTTTGTAAATGGTCCCGTGGTCTTCTTGGACCGGTCACGTTTCTCAAAAGACTAAGGGGATGGAGGGGGTAGGACAACTTCCATTTCCAATCGCCTTAGGGTACCCGCTCCCTCCCCGCACCCCAAAGGTGCCAATCCTTAACTTAGAGCGGGGGACAAAGCTTTAAAGCAGAACTTTGGAGCTCCGCTTTAACATACAATGCAGGCAGCTTGTTTATCACATTTTTAAACCTTTGTTAGGACAGACAGTGTTCAAATGTAGCTTACAGATGATAATGAAGAACTGCAACAATAGAACAGACAGGGTTAAAGGATAAGTTAATTTTAACAAAAAAATAATAAATGCACAGTTTTTTTTTTGCAAGTTAAAAAAAAATATGCATTTATTATATATATTTTTGTTAGTAACCTGTAAAAGTATTGCACCCATGATCACCTGATCGTGGGTGTAATGCCACAGTCCTGCATACACTCTGTGTAACTGTCTGCCCGTACCGCCGATAAGGGCAGCCAGTTACACTCTAATAGGAAGATCAGTGCTCAACAGAGCCCTGGTAGTTCACTGAAACTATAAGCCGACAGCTGCAAGGTGGGCCAGGAAGGTGGAGCTCTGCACGGCCACATTTTTTTTTTTTGGACTGCGACAGCGAGCTTGCTGTTAAAAAAACGGGGACCCAGCGGGGAGCAGAAGCTGGTGCATCTGTAACATGTTACACCCTGAATATGGGTGTAACATGTTACAAAAGGTGAACTTATCCTTTAATTATGTTAAACATTCTGCACAGCCCCCTCCTAAACATCACAAAAGCGGGAAGAACGTGTAAGGATTTTTAAGCAAGTAAAAAAGCACTAAGGCAGCCCAAAGATTATGCAATTTTTCATTCCTGCAACCACAGATCGAAGGAAAGAAAATCTCTCAATTTCCCCATCAAAGCTGACAGAATCCCTCCTGCTGCACTATTGTATTCTGAGAGTGGACGGTTTCCCCGCAATGATCACTGCTGGTGGTTATAGCTGTCAACAGCGATTGTGTGAAAAAAAAAACCTGACAAGCGTGTTGTACTCATATGCATGTGGAATGACAGCTGCCATACACAGCAATTGCCCCGCAGTGAAGCAGGTGTCACTAATGCCCACACCATAATATCGATATTCCCATCGCACACTTTCCTGGATAGGGCTTTAGGAATAGCGGGTGCTGTAGCAACAACCAGCTGGAATTGGAGACATCATAGATCAAATGCACAATTTGCCACCACATCACAGGTTGTCTAGTAATGTCAAAATCTTTACAAAAGAATGATCACATCTTGGAAAACATACTGGAATGTTTATGAGCCATGTAGGACCCCTTCGTCAGGCATGTGATGACAAAAACCAAATGTGTTGTGAGCTACGCTAAAACAAATATATGCCATCAAGAAAACATGCAAGCAAAAACCTGGCATTGAGACTGCCTGGTTGTAACGTGCCAAGAGTGTAAATCCAATAGGCCTCATGACACAGGAGGATATGATCCCTATCACCACCTCTTGCCGGCTGTTTGACGTGTTCAGTCACCATACCTCTCAATTTGTGGGTTTGGTGTTTGGATAATACAAAGTGTGCTGCTACTGGTTTGTGGGATCAATCTGATCACCCTTCTGAGTACTGGTTTGTTGGGATCAATCTCTTCACCCTTCTCACTCCTCAGGTAGGGCTGTCCTAATGTTGCTCTTATGCTTCTGAAAACGTCTTTTAAAACGGACCGTTTTTTTTGCCCAAGCAGGTTAACGCACATGGACATTTCGGGATGTAAGCACAAAACTCAGTGTTACAATTCAAGTAATCAGGTATACTGTACTGATTGCCCTTGTGTGGATGTGAGAACCATTCACCACAGATTAATGAATTGCAAACGTTGCAATTATGGCACCTGTAACAACCTGTGTTATGAGAAATTCTAGGTGGAATTTTAGAAGTCTCAACTCACCATCCGTGATGGGTCTTGAGGACAGGTTGATCACCAGCCATGTCTGGTTCCTTGTTGGGAGCTGCTGCATGGAGGGAGAATATTGAAATTTCCTGAGGCCTACCCTGGGTTATCGTCTCTGCTGGCAGATGGAAAAAGGTGATTACTAGTGGTGCCTGTGGCAGTTGTTATACCTGCGGTAGCCCCAGATTCACTGTCCTTTGATGGATTTTCAGTAGGACAGCCGCTGTCCTGGTAGATAGATGTCCTTGACAGACATCCTTATGTACTTTTCTCAGTGGACGGGTACAAAGTCGCCTCCTTGGGTGGGTAGCCCCGGTCAACCAGGGGTATACCCTACCCTCCTGATAGTCCCGATTTACTTGTTTAAGCTGGTCTCTTTAGACCTGCTTCTGTCTTTCAGTGTATGTTGATATTTCACTCTTGAATTTTTTTGGAGTGTACAAGTCTGTTTGTCTTTCTCCTGGGTGGAGAGTTCCAATGTAGACAATTCCCTGTTCACTTGGCACAATTGCAGGTGAACTCTTCAATCATTATTAGCATTTAATTAAGCAAGTTTTGTGTCGAAACCTCATACCACCTTTCACAGAAATCCCTTTTATGGTGACCGATTGTTGGTTGATTCTTAATGCAGAAGCCCCTAGGGATTTTTTTAGTTCTGTAGTATTAAGAAAGTGTTTGTCCATGCAATTCAAGATCTAAACGCCTTTTCTTCAGTTATTTGATTTCTCTATATACTTCTGTGATGGTGTTAGTTCCAAACGCTTTCTTTTCATTTGGAGGAAACAGTATAGCGTCAATCTAGTCCTGGCTGTAGATGCGCCCAAAATTTTTATTAGGTTGAGAAGATGCAGCTTCATCCGATGCCATCAGTAGCTTCTCAGGATACATGGTCGGTGGAAATTGTGCCACATCTGTTGTCAGCACAATCTATATACATGACCCACTGTTTGGGTAGCCATCAGGGGTGCCAAGTAGGGAAGCCAGTCACAAAGTAATATCAATATTCTCATTGCACACTTTACTGGATAAGGCTTTAGGAATAGCGGGTGCTGTAGCAACAACCAGCTGACTGGAGACATGGTAGATCAAAGCCTTCTCCAACCATGACATGCCTGACAAAGGGGTCCTGCGTGGCTCCAAAATGGTGCACTATGTTTTCTGTGATGTGATCATCCTTCAATAAAGATTTGGACGTTTTTAGATGATCCGTGGTGTGCTAGTGAATATCTGCATTTGACTGATGCACAAAGCAGTGTGCCCCTGCCAGGCAAGTCATCAAAGCCAAGTGCCAAAACCTTTTCCAGCACTGGGCTCCAGGGTTCAGATACTGGGCTCAGTTCCTGCATATTTTGATTTTACCACAGCCCCCCCACCTTTCCGGGGCCCTCAGGCGGCTGCTTAAGCTGCCTATTGCTTGGACCGACCCTGCTAACAATCATATGGATCTATCTACTTTCCTACAATCTGATTTTCCATCCAGACCGATCCAAATAATTTTGTATTAATTGAATGCTTTTGTTTAAAACTGAACAATGACACAGTAAGGGATCTATTTAGAAAACAAACTTTAAACAAATGGAAGAACCATTCATGCAAGCTGAATGAAATCTCACTGTATGTGATCACAAATCTTCGTACATGTGGCAGGAGGACACACTCTGCCTAGCAGATATTTTAACACTTCATAAGTTTAGAAGGCAATACACTTGTTCATACTACAGATAAATGCGTTCATTAAATTTCTTTGTGTCCTACTAGTCTTTGTCAGGTTTTTAATCTTCTCTATGTCTAATTTTTTTATTATGATCTAAAGCTGCCCATACATTATACAATTTTCCTATTCCATTTACTTTAGATTTACTTTCAACTATGTAGTACAAGGCCTGCCTGATTACATACAAAGTGAAAGTGTTTAGGTTTGACTGGGTATTATATGGTTTTGGTAAATATAAAGGAAAATTGTATGATGTATGGCCAGCCTAAGCCTCTCTCCATTATGTGTCATCTGGTAAGTACTCTAAGTAGATGTGTATCTGCTACAGGTGGAGGTGTATTTTATACAGATGCTCTGTTGCAGCTCTCACAGATAAGACACCACACAGCATTATTATGCAAAGATACCATCTACAACAAACAACACCAGATACACCACTTGTAGATCAGATGACAAGTGTTCTACTATAACACAAGCTGTAAACAAATCTGTTTGAACGTGTATCACATAGCCAAAGGTACTTCAGTGAGCTGACTTGGTAAATGAGGAGAAAGATAAATCCAATACAGTTTAAATCGCAACAACAAAAGCCAAGCCAAAAGCAGAGCTGTTAACAATGGCAACCAGTCTGAAGTTTGGTAAACAAAAGCAAATCTGCTTGTTTTTTCCCTATTGGGTCTGTTAAATATATAACTGAAAGCACTTTGTAATATCTGTTCAGTAAGTGCAAAAATACCCGTTGATGTTAGATATTCAGAGCTGTCCTGCGTCTTGTGCAAAACTCTTGTGTTATCCCAAAGAGAGCAATGAACCCTTCCAGTCATTATCTTGGAAATACAGAATGATTAGCCTTTATGTTGTGGAAATGGAGGAGTGGGAGGTTCTCAGTAGTTCAGCAAAAAAAAAAAACTGGGCAGGATTGACAACACTCAATCCACAAAAATTGCTAGTTCACAACAGGGCATAGATGCTGAGTGCACTTCTATAACATGATTGTTCTGTATCTTTAAAGGGATAACAGAACAACTATGTTATTGAAGATTGTGCACAGATTGTAGAGATGTTTTTTTTTTGTTTTGTTTTTTTCTATCCTTGCAATACACTTGCTGGACCCAGGTGGTCGAAATCGCCAAGAGACATTTAACCACTCGAAGAAGTGGGTGCCCTCCATCACTGAGAGGGGGACTTGCAGCCAGACCTAGCTGGCTTTGGAGTCCAGGGCTTACCAAGGATATCAAAGAAAGGACGTTGGGCTTGAAAGTTCTGTTTGCCAGAATCCAATCACATGAAGGTAGCAAAATACAACCCAATTTGTCCATGACTATGCCTGTGTCCTGTTCTGTAAAAGCAAGAAAAAGAGTTGCACTATTACCTGATGCATCCAAACAATGAAAAAATTTTGGATATAGAAACATAATTTTAAACGAATATTTAAATGGGCTATATATTATTTATCTGGGGCAGCACAGTGGCTAAATGGTTAGCACTTCTAGCAGTACTAGGGTCTTTGGTTCAAATCCCAACCACAGCACCACCCTGGCTGGAGTTTGCATGTTCTCCCTGTGTCTGCGTGGGTTTCCTCACACACTCCAAAGACATGCTGCTAGGTGAATTGGCTCCTGTCTAAATTGGCCCTAGTATGTGTATGTATGAATGTAAGTTAGGGACCTTAGATTGTACACCCCTTGAGGTTTAGGGACTGATGTGAATGTACAATATATATGTAAAGCGCTGCGTAAATTGAGGGCGCTATATAAGTACCTGTAATAAATAAATCTGCCTTCATGTTTGTTTTAAATAAGCAGAAAGAGAATCCTGTGAAATGCTTACCTGATCATTCATGATATCCAAACAAAACTTAACCATCCCCCCAGTGGGTACGCCTTCTTTAACCTCACTGAGGTAAGTTTTAAGGTAAATTGCATTTCTGCTTAGCTCCAACTTTCATTAATTGGTGAAAGGGCCCAAAAAGCTCCATTACTTCAGTGATGGTGAAGCAAATCATTGATCACCCATACTGAATGCCTCCCTAATGTAGCCCTTTGTACCTTTAAACCACTGTTTTAAGAACTGCAGCTAACAGGATTTGGGCTGCAAATGCAGTGTGCCTTTAATATCCATCTTAGACACATCTGAGATAATTTAGAATTTATTGCAGGTGCACCTGACATCCAATTGACTCCTGTTCCATGCTTACTTGTTTACAGATGGCTTCTAGGTCCTGATCCTGCACAATGTCCTCCCTCAGATGTAAACGGGTGAGTCTTGTGCTCTGTGGTTCTGAGAACAAGGTAAAAAAACTTTCATGTGGCTCAAAACCGCTGTCTGCATTCACCAACTCGATGTACCTGAAACAAAAAAAAGGCCTAAATCATAAAGTGTACACCTGTCAGAATGCATCCCATAGTGACTGATACTCCATAAAAACCGAGAGACTTCAAAAGTGGAGATACTGCCCATAGCAAAAATATATTGGATTGTTTTGGGTCATATTAGATTGTTAGTATAAGCAGCAGCTGCACTAATCATCTAGGACTACTTCATATTACAGTATTAATACATGTTATTGCACTGAGCACCTGCGAGGGCCATACACATGTCCTCTATAAACTGCCAACCCTTTAAAAAGGCTGTGATATACCATAAAATTGTGTAAATTGATTTACAATCAGCTACAGTCTGTTCCTACCTTCATTTCCTGAGTGATGGACACAGAACAAGTATGCAGCCAGTGCAGTTTGGAAAAGCTCACTTCACCTACACTTCTGTGAGTGCTGATTTGCAGGGTCCCTTGCTCACTGGTTCCTCCTGCCAACCTCCTGTGTCCTGGTTATGTAGGTGATTGTGGGAGAAACCACTTTTGTTTCATAAGACAGCAGAGGATTTTTCTCCATCAGAGTGGCGTTAACCAGTAAAAAGATATGTACTTCCATAAATAGCAACAACGAGAGTGCCCCATACGTTCTGTACAAGATGATGGAATACATCAAGGACCCAGCTTCTTGATGAGAAGCCCAAAATGGTCTGCCAGTCTACCCCCAAGGGTGTAACGGACCCCAGACACCCACGACTGGGTATCTCCATCAAGAAGCTGCTTCTTAGGCTCTGGAACACGAGACCAGTGAATCTGGCTATTGTTACCCCAAGATCCAGATGACACCAGATTTGAAGTAAACCGGAGGTAGACTACTTTATTTGAACATAGATACAAGATATATATACTCAGGGGATAATCCCCCTCCCTGCATAATGACACAGGGCGGGGCAATCTACATTTAGTAAAAAGAGACACACAGGTATTCAAACTTAACACCAGCAGACAGTCCCATCAGGAGGGAGGGCTGCTGGAGACACCGCCCCCACTAAGCTAATACACATAAACACATAGATCCCATAATAGTTTGCTCCCAAGCCAGACAGACAATAGAACACTGGGATGCAGCCACATGACATTAAACAATCAACAACCCCCACCCCACCTATCTCCTAAACATGTCTACACAGTCTGAGACAAAGCCCACACAATATTAGGACAGATCACCCTGTACCCCTAACAGGCACAGGGTGATTTACACATAAGAGGGTTATGGAGAGCTGAGACAGGGGTCTCCCCACCTCTCCAAAGTGAGCTGGGTTCCATGGGCCCCCCCACCCAAAGTGACTCCCGTCACAAAGGTCTGACCCTAACTGGGGCAATTCTGATGTAATAAATTGTGAGGCTCTGTCATTTATAATTTCTTTGATTTTATAGGTTAAGATATATTAAAGTTATTCATTTATTTTAAATGTATTCTTATTTCTGATATGTAGCATTTATTTTTGGAGAAGTTTTCTTTTTTGCTTTGAAAGACATCATCCTAATGAACAAAGCTGAAAAGGACATGCAAGGTTAGTTGGACCTAGCAACCTCAGTGAGTCGTGGGCTATGTTCTTTGCAAAGTAAAACAACATTGCCACGAAGGAACAGGCTCCCATCACAGAGATAAAATACTTAATTGGGGTTGGGGGTGGGCAGGGTTACTGCAATATGCACACAGGCACTGGGTACCACTTTACAATGCTAAAAATATTTCTGGTAGAACAGCATTATTAAAATAGTTATGTGTGCTGTTAATTAGCTGCATTCTCTTCCTACCTGGGCAGATCACTGACACTCTATCCAAACTGCTGCCTTTGGTTTTTATAAAAATCCTGACAGTTCTTTTGTTATATGACAATTTGTGTGAGAGTCTATTATGGTATTAAACTCAGGCAGGGCATAGGATGATCTTATAGCTTGACACTTCTATTCTGACAAGGACAGAATACAAATAAATAACAAAAGTCACGTAACCACGGGGGAGTTCAGTTTTGGGCACCAGTTCACAAAATGGATATTGGGGAACTGGAGAAAGTACAGAGAAGGGCACACAAACTGATAAGAGGCATGGAGGAGATCAGCTATGAGGAAAGATTAGAGGAACTGAATGTATTCTCTACTGAGAAGAGGAGATTAAGGGGGGATGTGATCAACATGTATAATACATAAGGGGGGATATGATCAACATGTATAAATACATAAGGGGGGATATGATCAACATGTATAAATACATAAGGGGGGATATGATCAACATGTATAAATACAGGGGGGAAATCTCCATGTATAATACATAAGGGGGATATGATCTCCATGTATAATACATAAGGGGGATATGATCACCATGTATAATACATAAGGAGGGATATGATCACCATGTATAATACATAAGGGGGGATATGATCTCCATGTATAATACATAAGGGGGGATATGATCTCCATGTATAATACATAAGGTGGGATATGATCTCCATGTATAATACATAAGGGGGGGTATATGATCTCCATGTATAATACATAAGGGGGGATATGATCTCCATGTATAATACATAAGGGGGGGATATGATCTCCATGTATAATACATAAGGGGGGATATGATCACCATGTATAATACATAAGGGGGGATATGATCTCCATGTATAATACATAAGGGGGGATATGATCTCCATGTATAATACATAAGGGGGGATATGATCTCCATGTATAATACATAAGGGGGGATGTGATCAACATGTATAATACATAAGGGGGGATATGTATCATAGGGGATATGATATGTATAATACATAAGGGGGGATATGATATGATCAACATGTATAAATACATAAGGGGGGATATGATCTCCATGTATAAATACATAAGGGGGGATATGATCTCCATGTATAATACATAAGGGGGATATGATCACCATGTATAATACATAAGGGGGATATGATCACCATGTATAATACATAAGGGGGGATATGATCTCCATGTATAATACATAAGGGGGGATATGATCTCCATGTATAATACATAAGGGGGGATATGATCTCCATGTATAATACATAAGGGGGGATATGATCTCCATGTATAATACATAAGGGGGGATATGATCTCCATGTATAATACATAAGGGGGGATATGATCTCCATGTATAATACATAAGGGGGGATATGATCTCCATGTATAATACATAAGGGGGGATATGATCACCATGTATAATACATAAGGGGGGATATGATCTCCATGTATAATACATAAGGGGGGATATGATCTCCATGTATAATACATAAGGGGGGGTATGATCTCCATGTATAAATACATAAGGGGGGATATGATCACCATGTATAATACATAAGGGGGGATATGATCTCCATGTATAATACATAAGGGGGGATATGATCTCCATGTATAATACATAAGGGGGATATGATCTCCATGTATAATACATAAGGGGCGATATGATCACCATGTATAATACATAAGGGGGATATGAGCTCCATGTATAATACATAAGGGGGATATGATCTCCATGTATAATACATAAGGGGGGATATGATCTCCATGTATAATACATAAGGGGGATATGATCTCCATGTATAATACATAAGGGGGATATGAGCTCCATGTATAATACATAAGGGGGATATGATCTCCATGTATAATACATAAGGGGGGATATGATCACCATGTATAATACATAAGGGGGGGATATGATCTCCATGTATAATACATAAGGGGGATATGATCTCCATGTATAAATACATCAGTGGTTCATATAGTGAACTCGGTGTAGAGCTATTCACCCTGAGGTCATCACAGAGGACAAGGGGGCACTCTTTACGTCTGGAGGAAAAGAAATGTAATCTCCAAATACAGAAAGGTTTCTTCACTGTAAGAGCTGTGAAAATGTGGAATAGACTCCCTCAAGAGTTGGTTCTGGCCAACTCAGCAGATGGCTTTAAAAAAGGCCTGGATTCTTTCCTAAATACACAAAATATAACTTGATACTAAAATTTATAGGTAATGTTGATCCAGGGAATATCCGATTATCTCTTGGGAGATCAAGAAGGAATATTTTTTCTCCTGCTGCAGCGAAGTGGATCATGCTTTATTGGGGTTTTTTGCCTTCCTCTGGATCAACTGTAGGTAAAGGATTGCGTATATGGAGGTGTTTTATTCATGCGTTTTTTTTTTTTTTCCTCTGTCGGTTGAACTAGATGGACTTGTGTCTTTTTTCAACCACCAGACTAAAAGTGTAACTATGTAATCATGTAAGGATCCACTGTTTAAACAATTTATAAGTGGAGATTCACATTAATACAAATGCCCATTGGTGAATGTTCTCTATAAAACACAACTATCTGCAGTACCTAAAGGTCCACATTTGATATTTATAATGGCCAAAATAACTTATTGTAACATCCATGTAACAGGGACAGCTGGTAGCAATGCAGGTGGTATTCAGACACTACTAAAGTTATGAATATTTTGGGGAACCCAGTTTAGCAGATGTAGGAAGATGAAACATGCAGTTTTCACCTTCAGCCACCAGCCTGTCCCAAAGTGCTAAACTATATATTGTCAAGGGCGTAAACATACTCATTCACCAGCCGGTCACAGATCTCGCTTGGTAAGAAGATATCTGGATGTAGCTTCAGGACTTCATTGTCTAAGAGGTAGCACAAGGTCCCCTTTAGGTTTCGGAGGCAGAAATCAGTACAGATGGTCATCAAAGACTCTGGGCTGTCCGTCGCCATCTTGTTGCTGTGCCGAAGAGGAATCTTTCAGGATGCAATTGGCACCAGCAAGAGAATTGCCCCTTCCTTGGTTAACTTTTCTGGAACATCAGGCGATAGGATACCTACAGGAAAAACAGAAATGTAATTATCATTGCCTTTTATTCTTGATGTGATTAAGCTTCTAATATACCATTAGGTTAAAGTGTTACTAAACCCTCAACAGTAAAAGCAGTCTGTATATGCAGTATAACATGCTTGTTATACTCACTGTGAAACCTAAGGAGTTATTCCTCCGCATTGTGTAAAAAGGCTGCTTGATCCTGTCTTCTCAGATCCTCCTCTTCTACTGTCCCCAATCCATCTGCTGATAGTACAGAGCTTTAGGAGTCGCTCTGCACATGCTCAGTTTAGTATGCATGGCTAAAGAGGTTTTTTTTTTTTCTTTGGAAGGATGCATGTGATCAGCACAGGGCCAAGCAGCACTGTCCAGACAGAGGGTCAGGGGTCATGCAGCCCAGTCAGAGCCGAATGAAAATTCCTCCTACAAGATTAACCAGTGCTCAGCTGGACACTGATAGAAGTCACAAGACAGCTATATACCGCTGATGAGAAAAGGTATTTAGCAGTTTATATTTACTAAAATAATTGCATTTCGAAGTTGTGTGTACTGTGGGAGACCAGATATAGTGAATGCAGGGTCCTGGGTTTAGTAACACTTTAACTATACATAAAGAATAACTATTTCTTGCTGCATGGATTAGGAAAAATATCTGGTTACAGAAATATTCTGTACTCCACTGTACAACAGTCATAATTTACATAAATGCATACAGGGACTCTTAATAAAATCTTCAAGTAACTTCAATAAAAGGCCCAACTACTCCTGAAAGATCTACTATAGACTATCAACATGCACTGTGAAAGCCATTAAAATACCTGTCAGATGCCAGTGTGCATGGGAACAATATGATAATAAATGATAAAATTGTGCATTACTGGTAGGTATACAGGTCATACACTGCCATTATAGTCTGATTCATTCTTGTAATATGACTTGGCTGCACAATACTCTGTCTGACCTATTTTAGGACACAACAACAACAAGGAATCAGCTTGCAGCCAAAGCTTTTGTTTAGAACTCTCACATGTAAACCAGTTTGATGATTCATAGAATAAAATCACTGATGAGTGTTAAAATGCCCTCACCGGAAATGAGGGTGAGAGCAGCAGGTAGCTGTCATTGTTAGGTGCGGTCTATTCTTACAGAGAGCAATGTCTTCTATGTCAAATATCTGCCAACTTATAATGTCACACAAGCAGCAAGCTTCCCAACAATATTGGATGGCCTGCTGGAACAAAAAGGGACCTTCCAAACCTACTTACAAATGGCCACACTGCACCGCATATCTGTGCACTGCTGGCAAGTACGCAAAAAGTTTTACTGGTATCCTCAGTACACACACATACTAAATGGGGTTTTCCACTCTGATAAGAAAGGTGGGAAATTCCTTTGAGGGAGGATCATTGCTTTACACCACGGCATCTGACGCTTTGCATTGTACTTGGTGATGTAAGGCTTGGATGCAGCTGCTTGGCCATGGAAACCCATTCCATGAAGCTCTCTATGCACTGCTGTTGTGCTAATGTGAAGGCCACATGGAGTTTGGAAATCTTTAGCTATTGATTCTGCAGACAGTTGGTGACTTCTGCGCATTGTACTCTTCAGTATGCGCTGACCCCGCTCTGTCATTTTATGTGGCCTACCATTTCGTGGCTGGGTTTCTGTTTTTCCCAGTTGTTTCCACTTTGTAATATTACCACTAACAGTTGACTGTGGAATATTTAGTAACAAGGAAATGTCACGGATGGACTTATTACACAGGTGACAACCTATCACGGGACCATGCTGGATTTCACTGAGCTCTGGAGAGCGACCCATTCTTTCACAAATGTTTGTAGAAGCAGTCTGCATGCCTAGGGGCTTGATTTTATACACCTGGGGCCATGGAGGTGATTGGAACACCTGAATCCAATGATTTTGGGGGCGGGCCCAATACTTTTGGAAATATACTGTATATCCGTCTGCACTGGCGGTGCGGATTCATTGTGATTTGAAAAAGAGTCCTGTATGATTTCTGAGCAGTATGGTCCGGTTCAGGTGCAGATTACAGGCTGTTGACGTCTATGGGAACAGTTTCTAAACCACATATGTGTGAACAGGATAATCCTGTCCTGAACCTGATGTAAACCTGACATGAAGCAGTGAACAACTACTGTATCAATTAGCTGTGAAACTTGAGCTTCAATCCGCACCACACATGTGTGAATCAGCTCTTACCCCTGGTTCACATATCGGCGTTCCTGCAGTCTGCGTTTTGAGCGGGCACAAGAGCCAATTCTTTTGAATGGACTCCCGTGCCCCAGGACATGCAGGGAAGAAGTTCCTGCACTTCTTCTGGAAACGCAGCCCCTACGGGAACCTCAGTTTCCAGTACGGTTCCAATTTCCAGTGTGGGCGGCGTGCCATTAGAATTAATGGCGCCCGCGGTCCGCATTTCTCTGTGCGGGTGGTGCGGCTGCACAGATTTTTGTGCGGATCCGCAGCAGCACCACCCCGCTTAGATGTGAACCTAGCCTTACAGTTATATCTTTTAGTGTGAAATTCCGCTTAATGACACGGTCGCTTTAACAGTACTTCATTCTGTATTATACTTTCATACATTTCCCTGCATACAGGAAATGCAACATTTTGCGCCAATCAGACTTTACTACATCGTGCAGGGAGCAGGCTGAGCAAAGGGTGACCACATCAGTAAGTTTCTGCACTTTCACTATCCAATCACAGTCTAATGCAGGCCATAGACGGCTCAAAAACCATCCGTTTAAAAAAAAAAAAAAAAAAAATCGGTCGTTCAATAGGCCGACGTTACCAACCAATGGTGAAAAAAAAAAAAAAAAACAAGACAATTTTCGTCCCGTCTACATCCGGCATTTAATTACTTCTGTTCCTGCAGAGAACTCCACTATTATATTTGACATGAAAAAGTATTGCGGTTACAACAATGTATCTATTTGTATCCATTTCGGATACAGATGTTTTTATTCAGATACAAATAGATACATTGTTGCAAACGCAATACTTTTTCATGTCAAATATTATAGCGGACTGGAATTCTTTTTCTTCTTTTTCTTCTTTCTTGCAGGTCACGGCTCATGCGCAGATTTTTTATCGGTAAAAAGATCGTCCAATTTGCCCATCATTGCCGGCAAAATCGGACGATTTTTTTTCCAACTTCACCTATAAAAAAAATGTGCCAAAATCCTGAAAAACGGCCAACCAATTAACCCACTAATGGTGCGAAAATCGGCCAATTTTTTTTTTCGGATGAAAAATCGGCCGATTTTGGACCCGGCTATGGCCTGCATAGGACATTCCTTAACCAACCTCTATTGCTTGAAATTTAGAAGAGAAATGTGAGGTGAGAACTTGGATGCTGTTCAACAAAGATCTGGATTCATATTTAGCAGAGCTGAATAAAACAGCTAACAACTGTGTATTTCAACTGCGATTTAAAGTGTATCTATAGCCAAAATTGTTTTTTTTTTTAAGTATTGGATAAAGTGGGGGAGGGTTAGAACTCCTGTCAGGTTTTACGGATGTCTGGAGCTTTGGTTCAGATGATTAACAATATTATTGTTCATGTTGAACAAACTTAAGTATTGTGTCCTGCATTGGCTGCACAACCTTCCATACACGGGATCAATGGGATCAATGGTCAGCCATGCCAGCATATATGAAACTACACTACTGTACTGGAAAAATCCCCTGCTGAGGCACGATGCACATAACCTCATCAGTCATACGGATACTACACAGCTCTCTACAAACTATTTTTGATGTAGACATTTTCTCGGTACTTTCTGTTCAAACTGTACTGTTGTAGGGAAAATACACAACTACAGAAACCAAATGAGCTTGAGGAATTTAGAGAGAGATAACATACATATCACAAATGTTACAAAAAGATATTCAATAAGCCTAAACACCAGTCAGAACGTATTTTTCAGAGGGATTAAGGGTTAAAGTAACGGTAAAATCAGTCTGTATATGCAGTAAAGCATGCTTGTTATACTCACTGTGGAACCTAAGGGGTTAATTCTCCGCATTATGTAAAAAGGCTGTTTGCTCCAGCCTTCTCTGATCCTCCCCTTCTTCCACAGTTCCCAATCCATCTGCTGATAGTGCCTAGGAGGCACTCTGCACATGTTCAGTTTGGTGTGTATTGCTGGAGAGTTGGGTTTTATTGGGAGGGAGCATTCGATCAGCACAGGGTCCGAACAGCGGGTCTGAGGTCATGCAGCCTCATAGGACAGTCAAAGGAGAATGAAAACTCCTACAAGATTAAGGAGTGCTCGGCCAAACACTGATAGAAGTCACAAGACTGCAATGTACTGCTGATGAGAAAAGGTATTTAGCATGTTATATTTACTAAAATAATTACATTTCCATGTTCTGTGTAAGACTTGATATAGTGAATTCAGGGTCCTGGCTTTAGTAACACTTTAAAACCTCTGTCTATTATTGCTGTCTCCCCGCTGGGAAGATTGAACCCAACTTTCTGTTCCAGTGCAAAGGTGTCAAAAATACAGGAAGTGATGGGATATATGTCTGATAGGGACAGCAACAATAGCCCTCCCTGTTGTGACAGCTGTCTGTGGCAAAGTCCCTCCCACATCCCCCATTCCCTGGCTCCAGCAAGGTACACTCATCAATCCATGCTCTCACACTGCCTTCTGTGTAAGCTCCTGGGCCAGAGCTTAACCAAGTAGATGACCTCACTGTCCCATCCCGTGTGACAGTATGCAGGTCTGGGTGATTGGCCACTCGGGTCCAAGCCCTCTCACATAGATGAGGTCACATGCTCCTTCCAAACTCGGAAGACCCACTCCTTTAGAGTAAGAGAGCATCAACAAGAGTGAGCAGAGAATGGTAAGTACACCTTACTGGGGGATGAGCA